TTTAGTGAAACAAATTTATCATTTTTAATCAGTGGCTTCTCTGTATGGGTGTTTGCGGACATAATTAAGTAATTAAGATTATGACAATTTTCAGAATTTAGCATATTTTAAGACAGAAAAACGACAATATTTTCCTCAATGTTGATCAGATAACGGTATAAATGGTACCTTTGTAAATTGGACATTCAAGTCTTTAAAGGGACTGTAAAGGATAAATAAAAGAGGGTATAGAATGAAACCTGAGAATCTCAGGCGTTAAACGATACATATAAGACATCTATCTGATGTTCCTGTCTCGAGAAATTGACATAAAACTACTAATTTAATTCGAAACAAGCGCTTTTCTGACCGATGGTAACCTAATATCTCTTCGTAAATCCTTTTCTCTGATTGGTTCAGATTTTTCCCGGGAAATTCAAATTTCCCTGCAGGGTTAAAAAGAGAAAGTTTAATATTTAAGTAGCAACTCATTATTTTACAGAACTTTTCAGCTTTAACTTAAATTTCGCGCATTCTTTAGTTTTAGACTCTGGTCTACAAAAACAAATTAGTGAGTTAGTGCTGTAAAATACAGCCCAAGTAGATGCTACACTTTAATGCCTTATCTTGAAAATTGATGCAATGTTTCCCAGCGGTTTGAACCTAGTTCAAGGAGGGCATCTTCAAATACGTCAAAAGTTTCTTTAACAAAAGAATTTCCAATGAATTCAAAGTTTGTGTAAACAAAGATAGCGACGTATATTTCAAAAGAAAGCGACAAACATTTAGTATTTGTTCAGAGAATAAGAATTACTTGAATTATTTATGAAATGGATTATAGGCGTGATGTTAGGCCCCGTTTCCGATTAACAATAGTACACTATAAACCTTGGTCTGATGAAAAATACATCCTTATTATTTAAAACATATCGTGAAATTTCAATCTAATATGATGGGGGACGCTCTGTATAAATTGTATTATCTCATCAAATATTTACCTTATCTCTTCAATTTTATAATTAATCATAACTCATAATCCATATAGTCCGACCATATCCGAATTCCATAAAAAGAATTTATTTTTTTAATGTCGACGTAAAGATGACAGTACACAACGGTACCCTTTAATGATTTGTCTGATCAATTGTATGAATTAGATATCAATGTTCATAAATTTTAATTTTATTATTTTTAATTGTGATTTCTCTACAAAAAGTGACTTGCCAGATTTTAATAAATAAGAAAACTTTTATATAAAAAAAATTTAAGCCTAGAAAACAACAATATCTTTCACATTATTGATCAGATAATGGTTTAAAAGGTATTGTTGTGAATCGGGCATTACCGTCATAGTATTTCGAGTCGTGACATTCACACTTGAAATAACGCTTACAGCCTGTTTATTATACAGCAGGACCCATCAAATTGTAAGATCAATGAAGACCTCAAGTTCTGAGTTTAAATAGTTCAATGAACATGAAACTAGGGCTGGACATGTTCCAACTTTTTCAACCCATTTTGCTAACAGTTAGTTCCAACCGTTTTAAAATAAAATCTCAGGTAGCCGTAAGTTTCAGAGGGTAAGAACGAAACTTCGTTTCGTTAACGGTATTTTCCGTTAGTTTTTAACTTTTATTAACAGCGTTAACGTTTTTTGTCGTTTGTTAACGTACGCTTTCGTTTATTTTCGAAAACCTCAGTTCCCTTAACAAAACTTTGCCCAGCCATGCATGAAACACAGCAATTGTACACAAACCCATTTCACTTTGTATACTGATTTTTAAGCTGGGGGTGTATAACTTTTCACTTTAAACAACTTTAATCCACATTTTCATGGATCCCACTGTAAACACAGATTCTTCGCTTAGATAAGCAGAATAATTATAACCCCAACATCAAGGTTTCGTTCATTAACTCTCCATTTAAAAAACAGGAAATATTCAAGATGTGATAATTAAGCGATCGGTACTAAAATACCGTATTTTACGAATAAACACACTAATGAACGAGTGGCCATTTTGGTCCCCATGTCCCTGTTTGATCTTTAAATTATATACGAGGTCCCCATATGGCACATGAACATTGGGACCGTCCACATGAACATTGGGACCGTCCACATTTCTTATTTTGGTCCTACTTTGAACGTGTAAAACTATACTAATTCACATAGATTCAGTCTCATCAATTTTAAGAACTTTGAATTTTCGCAACGCCTTGGGCGTAGATTTTTTACCACTCTAACTCACTTTTGCTTCTCTGTTATAGCCCTTTACATGAACATTTTAGCAATATATAGAGCACTGTTGTTAGCGTTGGTTATAAAAAGTAAAGCAAACAGATATTGTATGCTTAGCAGTTAAATACCATAGAATATAGTAATACTATCATTGAGTAATAACAATCAGATAGAGATTAGATGTCGTCTTTTCGAGATTTAAGGATTTTCGTTCACCAGAACCAGAAGCCAAAAGTATGCCACGTTGAATGACAAGACAGAGAGAGATCATGCGCATAACTCGTTTTGGCTTCTGCCTCATGATTTTTGTGAGCGAAAAACTCCTAAATGTTGAAATAACGACAACTAGTGTTCTATCTGTATTGTTATTAATCTATGACTACTATGATATCCGTATTATGAATCAACTAGACTAATCACTATAGAGGTTGATTGATTGATGGGTCGATACCTTGATTGATTGATTGATTGCTTGATTGGAGTAAAAAGTTTGGTGAAGAATTGTTGATTGTTTTCGGTTTGTTTTATCCCAGAACTTTCTCACACGATACTTATAATAGCTGATGAACCAGGGGGGAAGAAACTTGATTGATATATTGATAGATAGATAGATAGATAGATAGATAGATAGATAGATAGATAGATAGATAGATAGATAGATAGATAGATAGATAGATAGATAGATAGATAATGTTCTCTGCTGTGGATGTACAGAAGACAAGGAATACATTTTTATCAATTAAGAAAATTTGAAATTAGAAAAAAAAATATAAAAAAAAAATTGCTTTCTTGTTTTACCTGAGCTAGCAGGAAACAATTCAATATACTCTTTTAAAAACATGCTTTAATATAAGGGTTTTATATTGACCAACATTTACTGATTTGACCATAGATAAGTTAACAATATCAGATAGGACAGTAGATGTCGTCTTTTCAAGATTTAGAGTTGTTTTCTTTCACAATAACCCTGAGCTGGGAACTTTAGAATGGATAACCTTTAATCCCGACTGCTTAATCCGAATATCCACTGTGGAAACTTAAAATTTTAGTCCGTAATCCACTATTTTTCTTTCTCTTTGGATATCTGTACATTGTTTTCTCCAATGAGAGTGCAGGAATATAGTTCGTAAACTGTATGGACCAATGACAGCCTTGAAAATAAATTCTACCGGCAATAAAAAATATGTAATAATACGTTTGAGATTTTTTAAAAACAATTTTAACCAATGAATTAATGTGTGAGAAATTAAGTGAAGGCCCTTCCAGTCAAGAAAACGAACAAATCTGGCATTCCTAGAATCAAATTTGTTGATCTTAATAATTATCTCGAGACAAACATAATCTAGAGATTATGATAGTCTTTAGATTAGCAAAAAGAGAGGATTAAGCATTAATCCTGGTATTCACCATTCTAAGGTTCCCAGCTCAGAGCTATATTAAATAAATAGAAATATGTAAAATCATTTCAAATGAGTTTAATTTAATTCTTTCCTTTAAGGATTTTATTTTGGTCCAAATTTAATAATCTGTAAACATTTACAAATATAACTCGATAACAAATAATGTAATTTAATAAACTCTTTAATTCAAAAGTAAAACAACTTTACTTTACTAATCTTATTTAAAAGTTTTCCATTCTGATATTTTATATTTTTAAATATGAATACCTCATCCTACATTTTGTTGGCAGTAACTTTAAAGATACAAACAAATTTGATAATTTAAAGGGAGTGACCGGCTATGTAAGGTAGTTGAACTTTAAACATTTTAAAAAACTAATTCTGAAAACATATCCACCCCCAAAGTAGAAGTTTTGAACGTCGAATTTGCGCTCAAACTCAGGATTTACAGCTAGATCTTTAAAAAGTTTAATATGTCTCGAATGACCCCGAAAGAAGTTTTCCACAACACTGCATACTCAGTTCAACTACCTTATATAGCCGGTCCGTCCCATTAAAGCCTTTAGTCCAGTCATTTGTGAATAACTTTTTAGCAATATTGTTCAAAAAGGTTTGTTCTGTTAATTTGAGATTGTTTAAAAATGGTTTTGTGAAACTATATTCATAAATTCTTTAAATTAAAGAACTGATTCTAGACAAATTCATTGCTTGCATGTTCCATTCACAATGGTACCCATGAAATCCAATTCACAACGGTACCCATCAAATCCAATGCACAATGGTACCCATCAAATCCAATTCACAATGGTACCCATCAAATCCAATTCACAATGATACTCCCATCAAATCCAATTCACAATGGTACCCATCAAATCCAATTCACAACGGTACCCATCAAATCCAATTCACAACGGTACCCATCAAATCCAATTCACAATGGTACCCATCAAATCCTATTCACAATGATACCCATCAAATCCAATTCACAATGGTACCCATCAAATCCAATTCACAATGGTACCCATCAAATCCAATTCACAATGGTACCCATCAAATCCTATTCAAATGATACCCATCAAATTCAATTCACAAAGGTACCCATCAAATCCAATTCACAATGGTACCCATCAAATCCAATTCTCAACGGTACCCATCAAATCCAATTCTCAACGGTACCCATCAAATCTTTGTCAGATCAATTATGAAATAGACATCCATGTTTTTAAACCAGATAAACGACTTTTTATTCTAAATAATTGATTAGATGAAGATTTCAGAGGGACCATTGTGAATAAGACATGCCTTTCTTTTCTGAAATGGAGGGTTACATAAAATGTCGTGTTCCTTTAATCCTAGTTTAATGATTAATGAAATAATGTTTGTTTTCAAGACGGGGAATGAGAACAACACGGTCAAAATAGTAATTCAGGTGATTTGAAATTTTTCAGTTTAAAACAGAAATCAGAAAAGTGTGAAAAAGAAAGACGACCTTCAGACGCAAGTTATGACTTTAGATAGTCCAATGAACATTAGACACAGCAATTGTAAACAGCCCTTTTAACTTGATTTTTTAAGTTACTAAAATATATCTTTTTGCTTTGTAACAACATTAAATGCACTTAAGTATTGCTATAATGTCTTCCTATTTCACAGTTTTCTGATTTTATCAAAGCAAAGCATATCAAACGAGATATATCAAAACAAAACATATCAATACAAATATCTCCTACATAATGTATCAAAACAAAACATATCAATACAACATATCTCCTACATAACATATCAAAAAAAGCATATCAATACAAAAAATATCTCCTACATAACATATCAAAACAAAACATATCAATACAACATATCTCCTACATAACATATCAAAACAAAACATATCAACACAACATATCTCCTACATAACATATTAAAACAAAACATATCAATACAACATATCTCCTACATAACATATCAAACAAAGCATATCAATACAACATATCTCCTACATAACATATCATAACAAAACATATCAATACAACATATCTCCTACATAACATACCATAACAAAACATATCAATAAAACATATCTCCTACATAACATATCAAAACAAAACATATCAATACAACATATCTCCTACATAACATATCAAAACAAAACATATCAATACAACATATCTCCTACATAACATATCAAAACAAAACATTTAAAAATAATCGCTTAAAAACTTTACAAATTTAACATTTCTTCTACAAAATAATCAATGAAACTTATTAAAACAAAACGTTTAAAAACAAATATCGAAATAAAACATTTCAAAAAAAATCTAAAAAAAACATTTCAAATCTAAGCATTTCAGATAAAATCATATATAAAACATCATATCAATAAAAAAAGATAAATATAAATAAAAAATATATTTATCAGGCCCCTGCCTCCTCCTCTGGTGAATGTGTGGAACCTGAAACCAAGCACAGACGAAACACTCCACAAATAATTGTTCAGGTTAAAAAAGAAAAATATTTAGAAATTTTAAATTTTGTCGTTGTTGTTCACCTGTTGTTTTTTTTTCAAATAACTTTGTAAACACGTTGTGGAATGTTTCCTCCTTTGTGTGTAACCCTCTGAAACCTCACAGATGTTTTAAATGGTGTTAATAAATGTCGTCGTCCGCCTAATTTTCTCAAACGTAAATAAAGTAAAATATACAGAGCGTCCAATCATATTAGATTATCTTCAAGTTTTAGCGCCAAAATAAAACAATAATACCCTAAAAAACTAGTTTTTTTTCGCAAGATAACTCTTATATTAGCCTTATGAAATTTTTCAAAGTGATTGATTCTTCTTTATATTTTTTCTGATTAGTCCCGAAAATCGTAATTTAGACCGATTACCGATCTTGTATGATGTGGGACACCCTGTAGATACAGAGCGTCCCATTTAATATCATTCTTTAAAGTCTTTTGTTTTCTCTCAAAAATTCCAATTTGAAGAAGCGAATCCCTATCAACCAGGGGCGCGCGTCTAAAGGATGTCATTGGGACGTCATCAATTACCAATGCGACGTCCATGGACGTCATCTTTTAGGTGTTGAGGACGTTGCAGGGACCTTAAACGCACACTTTTTTTTACGTCCTCACGACCTATCTTTAAACGTCACTTTGGACGTCATAATGACAAAACTTTTGACATCTAAATGACCAAACTTTTGATGTCTAAATGACCAAACTTTTGACATCTAAATGACCAAACTTTTGACATCTAAATGACCAAACTATTTCTACGTAATTATCCTACACTTAACCATAGATCAGAGACTAATTTATTATCTTTGTCAGACCAGTATGAGACCAGTTAGTTAAGCTGACCTAACCGACTAAACCTGACCTAACCTAACCTAACCCGACCTAACCTGGCCTTACCCGACCTACGGGGACTGGTAATTTTCAGACCAGTAAGGTATCCTGACGTAACCCAACCAATCTTGACCAAATCCGACCTAAGTGGACTAGTAAGGTTAAGATCAGTATGAGGCCAGTTAGGTAACCCGACCTAACCCGACCTAACCTGACCTAACTCGACCTACGGGGACTGGTCATGTCCCGACCAGTTATATAATCTGTTGTAACCTGACCTAACCCGACCTAACGCGATCTAAGTGGACTGGTCATGTTCCGACCATTTTGGTAATTCTACGTAATCCCAACCTAACCTGACCTATCTCTGGGACTGGTTGCGCGACGTCGCTGTTTTCTAGGGCATATACTGCAGGGTTACCCACAAAGGATGAGACTATAAAGACGACCCAAAACTATAAAAATATGACAAATTAAAGCATGCTTTTTGGTTTCTGCATTTAATTAAGTATTTAGATTTTTTACTAAATGATTTAGCACAGAAATAAACCTTTTTGGCTTACAAGAATAACCCTGTACAGACTACAGACACAGTCGTCTCTAAATACTCATCCTTTGTGGGTAACCCTGTATTTATAAATATGAGTGATAAGGCGATAATGAAAAAATAGCCTGTATGTTCCTAAATGTGTTCTGCCTTTTTTTGTGCCTTAAAAATTAAAGTATTTAAATGATTTCATTCACAATTATAAAATTTTCGGTTTAATAAATAAAATGAAAACTAACACAAATTCTTGATATCTCTGGTAATTTTAAACGCACATAAAAAGCAGACCACATGCTGGAAATGGCTGGACTATGGCTATTTTGTGATTATTGTTTCATCAATCATATTTGTAAAATTGACGCACAATTGCCGTTAACTTTTAATACTGCATCAGAAAATTGTAAGGTAGTGTGTTATTAACANGTGGGACTTGGGTTTTTCTTTATAACTTAAAAACGGCTTACACTAGAATGTTTTTTAAACTTCCTAGATATGAACCATTTTTTCAATTTTTTATGCAAAGGGTATATACAGGGTGTCCCAATAAACATGGGAATTCAGAGACGAAATTCGATATCGTCTTTGTAAAGAAATAGTGTTATGCTACCTAATTTCAATGGTCAAAATAAATTTATGTCTGATATTTTATGTAAAAAGTAAATGACTGTTTTGTTATCCTGCAAAACGTTGTATGATTTTTTTGTAAGAATTCTGCAAGATAAACAGTGAAGAGAAACAACTGTACTGTATTTGTATACACGAATCTCTGTAATTGTTATGTACAACACAGTATGCAATAAAAATATAAACAAACAAATTCTTTGCAAATTCTGAACTCTAGCAGACAGATTATAGTTTTCATATTAGGCATCATAATACTAAATCAAAAATCATTTACAAAGACGATATCAAAATCGTCGCTAAATTCCCAAGTTTATTGGGACACCCTGTTTTATAGGATGGAATTTAAAATTTTATATCTTTAAGATTCCAGCCAACATGTGAAAGAGGAGCCATTAACTGAATTTAAAATTGTATATCTTTAAGATTCCAGCCAACATGTGAAAGAGGAGCTATTAACTGAATTTAAAATTTTATATCTTTAAGATTCGAGCCAACATGTGAAAAAGGAGCCATTAACTGAATTTAAAATTGTATATCTTTAAGATTCGAGCCAACATGTGAAAGAGGAGCCATTAACTGAATTTAAAATTGTATATCTTTAAGATTCGAGCCAACATGTGAAAGAGGAGCCATTAACTGAATGTGATGCTGAAAATGTTGAAGATGAACCAGAAAAGACTACAGGGACTGTGAACGAAATTTTAATTTGCTGTCGTTTTTACAACGGTATCCTTAAAACCTTTCTTCACGCAAAAATTTCGTGATATCCTTATTCCTATGGCTGAAAATTGAGTTCCAGGCAACTTGAGGTTCGAGTGTACAGTACTCCACGCTTGTATAATTGAAAGGTTCTGTTGTAAATCGAATTCATAATTGTCAATACTTTGAAGAGCTTGAGTTAAACAATAAACTTTAAAGTCTAGAAACACATCAGTTCAGTATTTCATCCTTAAACATTTAAAGTCTGCCAGGAAATTAGAAGAATTTTAAACTTTTTAGCCACAACCTGTAGAATATGGAATTGCAGCCTGGGGGAGAAATAAAAGTCCTGAAATGAAAAACTAGCTTGCTCCAAAAACGTGCAGTTAGAATTATTGATAAAGCGAAAACAGCTTCACATAGGGATCCTCCTTTCTTTAAGTATTAAATCCATAAGTTCAATGATTTGATCCTGATTTTAATCAAGCAACATTTATGTAGAAATACACGAAAAACCTTCTACCCTCCTTATTTAACAACACTTTTAAAAAATCGCAAAATATGATAAAAAATAATCTGCCACTTGATTTAAAAAGAAGTGCCTCGTTAGGCATATTCAAAAAAAGTTTCACGCTTGCATATCAAAGGGCAATTAACCCTCTTGTTCTCTTGTTATTCTTGCAAAAAATTAATATAAATGTTTAGATAATTGAACATGCTTAATTTCATTCTGTTAAACGTACTAAACTTTAAATCTGAGAAATCAATTGTTTTGTTATGCTGCACCTCGGTCTCTCTAAATTTAACTAGTAATCCCTGACTTATTGTAAATTTTCAAAACCTAGTAATATTTATTATATTGTAAGCGTTTTAAAATATCAATTAGGTGGGGATAATACCCAAAACAGCAAATAGCTAATCTCCACCTAACTAATTGCCATAATGCAAAAAATATAAAAAAGGTTGCAGATTTTTGCTTGTAACATCAGAACTTTTAGAATTTTTAGCAATAAACTATATCTTATCTTATCTTATCTAATCTTATCTTATCTTATCTTATCTTATCTTATCTTATCTTATCTTATCTTATCTTATCATATATATTCTATTCTCTATGGTTCTTAGTCTGCCCATAAATGTACAGTGTGATTAAAAAAAGTTGTATTGGTGACGTCTTGTCTATAGTTATACTTTTTACGCAATACAAATGTATTGGTTTATTTAAGCTTAGAGAATTCTTAAGTTTTTTGGCAAAACAATATTCGCTTACGTTTTTTACTCCTAAAAAATACATAATTTCTATCTAACCATAAAATCTCATCAAATTAAATGCAACAAAATCCGCAAAATTGTGTTTAGTAAATTCGCAATTGCAGTTTTAGTTTGTAGTTTAGTGTTTATGTAAGACATTGAAATATGAGAGCTAATAGTTTATAGAAGAATGAAAGATATGAACAACTGTTAACTGTGTTTATTTCATTGTCATCGGAATTTTGTATTGGATCTATTTTATTTAAGTTTTTGGGATTTTATAAATAATCAATTAAGTCAATTAAATCTTCAGAAAATTTTAGGTTTGGAAAGCAATAATTTAATATGACATTTTGCATTTTTAATAGACTATCAATTTCTTAACTGTTTGTTCTATGATTTTTTGCACTCAAATACACGATCCTACAATGTTAGGTTCTTTCCCAAAGAATTTTTCCCAATTGACAACTTCCCAAATGTCCAATTTCCCAACCGGCAACTTCCGAAGTTTGTCCTAGCCGCAGTGCTCGTTCCCCCATTTCAGCCAGCGGCGCCTCAGAGGGCCTAACCTAACCTTTGGGAAGTTGCTGCTTGGGAAAATGAACATTTGGGAAGTTGCCACTGGAGAAATTGTCACTTGAGAAGTCGCCCTTGGGAAAATGCCTTTGGGAAAGTACCTAACACCTTTCTAAGTCCAACTTATTAAGATATATGTGATGTGAATCAAGATTAAAGGAATTGAAGGCGTAATTTTAAGTGACCCTCCATTTTTAAAGGGCCGTTTGTGTAAATTACAAAGTTGTAAAATAGGCATTCTCCTCTTTGCATGCAAAGAGTCACTTAAATTACGCTCACAGTCCCTTTAAATATAATTTAAGGAACCTCAGTATAACTACCAAAATCGCAAACTATCCCTTTAAAATGTGTATCTGCAGGCCAGGAAAACTTCCATCCCTCTGGCTGTTCAACAACAGAAACTGAAAAATATACCAGCTGTTGATATAGAGGTAAAATATACCACCTGTTGATATAGAGGTAAAATATACCAGCTGTTGATATAGAGGTAAAATATACCAGCTGTTGATATAGAGGTAAAATAAAATAATCATCATTGTATTTTCTATTGACTTTTTTGGTATAAAAGTAATTTTTTGTTTATAAAACCAAAACAGATTAATTCTTTTGAAAAATGGCAATCGCGCACGTCATTGCATGTCAGTGTATTATGATCATGGTGTAAAAAACAACCTTAAAATATGTGAAACTTCTCAGCATTTTGTGGAGCATTTGAAGATCCAAAACAAGACTTAAATGCTTAAATATGGATTCTAAATCATAAATTTCAGATAGACGACATTCCCGCTAAAGAGAGTGCGGCAAATGCGCACGAGGCGAACAAGACCAGTCCAGGATCTATAGAGGTTATGGTAGAGATCAACGATATTGCCACAGATCTAGATACAGACTTTGATCAGGAACATATTTTATTCAAACCAATTTACACAGCTTTCGCTTTCTGTTTTTGATTTCAACAAATTAGAAATTCACATTTTATCTGGTGTTGACAAGACACAAGAGATGAACCATAAGTCCGGTGTAGTGCATGGGGGCAACTCCCTTGCATGGAAACACCTCCCCCTAAAGTTTTTACCATTTCAACACAATTTTAGAGATAAATCATCATTAAAAATTATCAGATAACATGTCTTAAATACGCATTAAGTTCTGAAATGTATTTTAAAGGGGGCAAAGGAAAAAAATATTTCCCATCGAATGTCGTCTTCCTTTCAAACATTTAACATTTACTCGAGATATAGACATTTTTTAATGTGTTTTTCCAATCAAAATACATTAATGAATATCGGAAAATGTCATAGCATTGCTTAATATGTCTAACATTGTGTTAAATGATGAAAACTTTAGAGGGAGTTGGCCCCATGCACGACACCAAACAGATAAAAAATATCTGTTTTTCCAAAAGTTGAAAATGCAATATTGAAAACAAGAAAACTCTAAAAAAATGTATGTAAAGGAAGTAGGAAACCATATTTCTCGCATAAATTTTCTATTCTTCCATGGTACTTTGCATACCTCTTTCGTTCAGTAAATTTAGCTTTAAATTGTTTCTTCTTTAGTGTTTTTTTCGTTGGCATGCATGTTTTGAACTTTAGCATAGATAAAAAATATATAAATAAAAATAACAATGTAAATTTTCGCAGATTTCTGTATTTAATTGTGGATTTGACAAAACATTTTTTTGACATACACTCATACTTACAAACTTATGTATAGATAATTAATCTAATATTATGGCTTACAATTTTTTAGCTAAATTACAAAAAAAACTGAATGAAAAAAATATTGCATTACAAGAATGATAGAAAACATAGTTCTTCATCAGGTAAAAAATATTTTATAAAACGAAAAACGAAAAAAGAATTGAGTCTTAATCACAAACTCTGATTTTCTAATAAAAATATCTTTGCAATCCGATTTCGTAGACGTTGGATATTTCAAACTATGAATTCTGTTAGATCAAATAGCCTAAGTTTGAAATATCAAGGGTTTCCACCATTAGTTTGCCAAGATATAAGGATTAGAAAATTTGAGTTTGTGGCAAAAACTCAATTCCTTCATAGGAAAGTTTTACGTTAAACAACAAAATATTTGAGCCAAAGACTAGCAATTTCAAGAAAGATGTAAGGATGAGACTTCAGAGACGACTGTACGGATTTATTTAATCTTTTTTCTTTCATTCATGTTCACTAAAGTTTTTATGATTCTTGTTCCTTGTCAAGTTAGTAAGTTTATCTGTCAGAAGCTAAGTACAACTTGTAGAAGATGAAATCCCCAAAAGAGGATTATGAAATCCGTAAATCAATAGTGTCGGATCCTGGACCCAGAGAAGGCCTTCTCAACTTCTTCTCCTTTTATATACTCGTTATTTATCATGTATATACAACTAGAAGCAATAAATGTACTTCTAAAGTGGTGACCCCAGACAGAAAATAAATCATGGCCAAAAACACAGCCTCCTGGCCGGAAACAGCTAAAGAATTGGACGAAGATGACAATTGCAAGCTTAGCTACTCGTGGAGCTAATAAGCTGAACCTCAGCTACTGCTAGAGCAAATAAACCAAAACTCAGCTACTCCTGGAGCTAATAAGCTAAAACTCAGCTATTCCTGGAGATAATAAGCTAAACCTCAGCTACTCCTGAAGCTAATAAGCTAAACCTCAGCTTCTCCTGGAGCTAATAAGCTAAACCTCAGCTTCTCCTGAAGCTTATAAGCTATACTTCAGTCCTCCGGAAATAAACTATTTTGCTGACTTTTTAGATAATTTTAACTTGGAGATTCCATCCAAACCAATTTTTGGAAAGAGTTTTACTGCGCTGCGCGGAAATTAGCATTTAATGTCGATTCTCTAGTTTATCACTTAAGCGATTCTCTAGTTTAACACTTTAGTGATTCTCTAGTTTATCACTTTAGTTATTCTCTAGTTTAACACTTTAGTGATTCTCTAGTTTATCACTTTAGTGATTCTCTAGTT